AGGCACAGTGGCTGGGGGTTCAATCCCTGAGCCTGCAGTGCCAGCCCCGCCCCCGGGGCACGCTGAGATGGCAATTGAAACTGGGCATGGTGGCATGCACCTGTAATCCCAGCTCTTGGGAGGCTGTAAAGAGGCAGATCACTAGGAGTCTGATCTAGTAGTGAGACCCTGAACACTCTGTAGGCCCTTCCCTAAAATACAAAAAAAAAAAAAATCTGATAATATTTATCATCTTGCAGGTAATCTTCACAGCATCCCCAACCCTATGCTTCTCCTTGGAGTGCCTTACTCGCCAGTCCTGATTCTATCACAGCTCTGGTGGTAATTACAAAGCAGGCGCAGGTGACAAGTCATTTGTGGTTGGGTGGAACAGCGCTTCCGGGAGCAGCTGGCCAGGAGCTGTTCCATGTAATGGTCCATGTTATGTTGCTTAGTAACTGCTCAAAGATCCTTCCTGTGCTTTTGACATGCAGAATGAGAAAAGAAGTGGCTGTTCTCCCAATCCTCATCTTTGGCCATAGCTGAATCAACTCTTGGGCCTGAACTTGGATCAATAAATATTTCCTAAAGTGGAAAAAAAGCAGCAGGGGCCAGGGAGATAGCTCAGTAGAATAAGTGCTTGCCTAGCAAGCGCAAGGGATTGAGTTCAATCCCCAGTTCCAAAAAAAAAAAAAGAAAAGAAAAGAAATAAGAAAAAAGAAAAGAAGCAGCTGCAGCAAAGAGGGGAGGGGTAACTGTGGGGAGGCTGTGGTGCTTTAGCAGAAGGTACTCAAGAGTGTCACCAACAAAGGAGGCCCCATGTTACATTCTAGCACATATTTAGCCACTTGAGTATGACCAAAGAGAGGAAAGAAGAGCCCGGGAGATAGCTCAGCGGCATACATGCCTGCCTGGCAAGTGCAAAGTCCTGAGTTCAATCCCTGGTAACAAAAACAAAGAAAAGAAAAAGGAAAAAAAAAAAATGTCTATAGGTGAAAGATCCCTTCTAAGATTGCCATCCCTGCTGCTCCATACTTTCACAAACAGAACCAGGTTTTTTTTTTCTCTATTCTACTTTCTTCCAGTCCCTTGCTTGAGCCTATAATGCATTTCAATTTAGTAAACAAATCCAAGTGCTCACTGAAACATTTAAAGAAAAATAAATCAAGTATGGGGAGAGACTTCTGTCCCAGGAAGCAGAAATCTTATTTTGCTAGAATAGACCTATCTATATTTCCTATAGATAATCAAGGTTCAATTGGCAAGACAGCTTCCAGCACCTTCATCGTGAGGGTCCCTGAGTGGAGGCAGGCTGGGTGGCTTCCTGCGTCACCCCAGAGGGCCCTGCAGTGGCTGCCTCCTGGCCTCAAAAGGAACAGCTGGGGGAGCAGCAGTGCCACTGTCCACACACAACTACTCGAAGTGGCTGGTGCCCGCCACAACCTTTATCCGCACCTCTACTCCAGAGCATACATTAATTCGAGGAATCCTGATAACATCCTTCTGTTCAGAGATCTTTTCGATGGGTGTGTCTTCATGGGCAGTAATGGCCTGGAGTATCCTGCAGTGGTAGTTTGCCCCCTTCCAGAAGATATTCAAGAAGCTAAAGAAGAGAGATGCCAAGACAGGGAACATTGGAAATAATCCAGAATATAAACTACTTTTTCCAAATTTACAGCTTGGAAGAAGAGAGAATCAGTGCCAATCCTAAAGCTCTTTTTGGAGAGGTATAAGCAAACATAAGAAAACTTGCCACTAGAGGAACCATACCTCTTTTGGACTATATTAAAAATAGGAAGTTAGAAAAACAGAGAATTCCGGAGAAGTGAGAACAAAGGAGGAGGGAGTTAGAAATGAAACACTTGCAGAGGAGAAAAACAGAAAGAGACAACAAGAGGAAAGATGCAAGAGGAAAGAGGCAGATAAAAGAAAATTCTTAAAACAGAAATTAGGATTAAGCTTCTTAAGAAACCAGAAAAGGATAAGGAACCAAACACAGAAAAACAAAACAGAAAGAAGCAAGGAAGGCAGCGCTGGAGATGGAAACTTGTGCCCCTGCACCTTCTCGAGAGCCAGGCCTTCACACAGCAAGACAAGGACGCACAGGGAGGAGTCACAGGATGACAATGACAAAAAGCAAAAGGACATGGAGAGAATAACCAAGGAGCTGAAATGCCAGAAAGCAACACAGTGATCACTCTGAGTTGGACCGGTTTCCTAGAACGAATGAAGACAAGATGAGATGGAGGAGAGCATTCTCCCAAGTAGAGGGAAAGGGAGGCAGGAGAGGGCTGCTGCTCTGGAGACAGCAGACAGCCTGGGCATCGAGCAGCAGGAGGCCCACAGCCTGACACCTGAAAGGGAGCACCCAGGAAATAGGGTCCTGCAATCCACTTGTCTGTGCCCCAAGTGGGCACTACTTCTGAGGGCTCACAACCACTATTTCCAAACAAATTTTCTTTTCAAATCAGATAAGAATCTGAAAAAAAAGTTTAAAATGACCTAAACTGATTTAGAATAAAGATCCAACCCAAAAATGGGCATCTGAGATGCATATACACTTCGGATAAAGAAATACAAACACCAAATAAACACATGAAAAATACTCAATATTGGTCATTTGAAAGATGCAAATTAAAACAACACTGAGATTCTATCTCACCCTAGAAAGAATGCCCCTTATCAAGAAATCAGCCAACAACAAATGCTAGCAGGATTGTGAGGCAAAAGGTACCATTGTTGGTGGGAGTGTACACTGGTGCAACCACTGTGGAATCAATGTGAAGACTTGCAAAAACCAATGACTAGAGGTTCCATTTGACTCAGTCATTCCTCCCCCCCACGTGTCTTCTCAAAAGAATTAAAAGTATCATACTACAGTGATATATACATACCTATTTTTACAGTGGCGCAGTTTGTAATAGTCCAATCTTGAAAACAAGCTTTGGGTTGCTTATCAACTGATGAATTGATAAAGGCAAAAGATTTATACAATGTGAAGGGAAACCAGAGTATGGTGAATGGATAAAAAAGATGTGGTTTTTCACACAATGGAGTACTACTCTACCATACATAAGGACACACTAGAAACATTTCTAGGAAAATGGATGCACTTTGCGCCTGTACTCTTAAGTGAAATAAATCGGACACACGTGTAAATACTGCAGTTTCTCTGCTATGAAAAACCAAAAGTGTCAATAAAGACCAGAATGTATAATAGATATTGGGAAATAGGAAAACAATGTTCATATGGGGAGGAGAGCAAGGGAGAGGGGAAGGGGAAAGGAAAGAAGGAAAAAGTTTAAAAAATGAGAAACCATAGAAACAAAGCTTTGTAAATAAGAATGAGAGGCAAGGTTGAAGAGTGGGTAGGGGAATGAGGAGAAAAACAAGTTATATCATGTACAGGCATAAATTCTCCATGATGAACATATTAATTAATGTATATCTTTTTTTTTTTTTTTTTTTTGCAGAACCGGGGATTGAACTCAGGCCCTTGCACTTGCCAGGGAAGCACTTATTCCACTGAGCCATCTCCCCAGCCCCCTAATTTATGTATATCTAAAATGTGCCAATAAAATCTAATTTAAAAATACATCAAGTGGGGACAACCACTCGGACCCTCCTCCTGTCCCTTTCTCTGACAGGAGTTTTCTTTCCCTCAATAAATATATTCTGCTCACTAAAAAAAAAATACATTAAGTAGTTGTCCACAAATCATTTTCTGTGATAAAAAGACAATACTTGCTAAAAAATACTTGAGAAAAATGTGTTTGCAAATAAATTTCTTTTGTGGGAGATACCAGGAATCAAACCAAGGACCTCACACTTGCCAGGTAGGTGTTATGCCACTGAGTCAAATCCCTGTCCCTTTGTGAATTGATTTTAAAAATCATCATTATATCTAAATTCTTCTCATGATTCTTGTGAGTACCATAATTTTTATTGATTATTAATTTCTGAAAACTACTACATCTACATTAGTTATATTTGCCTCCATTGTCCTAGTTCTTTTTACACAGTTCAAATTATATTGTTGATTATTATCTTAACATTTGGAAGTTGCAGACACTTATTTTTTTTAAAAATATTTCTTCCTTCCAGGTCATGAATCTTACATTCCTCTTCCTCAACACCACACATTCCCCCATCTCATCTTGAACAATTAAAGGCACTCGCTTATTTTTCAAAGTGGCAGCTGGAATTTCAAAGGAGGAAGTGGGCACTTCTATATTCTATTGGTGAGTTTGTGAAGGAAATTAAACTACCTGGATGTCAATCCTGCTTCTACTTTCCATGACCATGGACAAGTTACCGAATCCCTCATGGTCTCGCTTTCTCATCTGTAAAATGGAGATAACACTGGTGTCTACTCCCAGGTTATTGTAAGAATTAAATGATAAAGTGAACATGAAGCATAATTTTGGAATATAGTAAGCACTCTACAAATATACACAGTGGTGAGAGTAACGCCAGGTAGTGCTAAAATTATCCAAGAGAAAAAAAAAATGTGTACATTTATTTACACAGTACTACTAATTCTAGAAATATGTCCTAAGGAAAGAGTAAGTTGGATGTTTAAAGGAGCTGCCGTGCTGGTCATAACAGTCAAAATCAGAAACAGCCAGAAGAGAATTCAAATGATAGAGCACTGGCCAGACCTGGAACCAATTATAAAAGTGGGATTTTTGTCATAATTCTGGTCCAAAGAAACAGACATAATAAAGGGAAATTATATTAATTACTGTGTCATTAAAAGTTTAATCCTTGCCCCTGGACCTTGAAAAATCATATCCTAAAAAAACAAAGCCTCACACTGAGAGTGGTGCATGAAGTGATGTGAAAATGGAAAAGTTGCACTTCAAAACTTAGGAGCATATTTCCCAGGAAAGACACATGAATGTGGTCAGAAGAAGCAGCTTCCTTCCTCTTTTCTAAGCATTACCCCAGGGCCTCCAGCAGAATCTCTTCAATGCCTTTCATGTTATAGATTTCACTGCTCTCCCCAGCTTAGAGGGAACATGTGGCTTTTCACAGCTGTTCTTCTTTGGGGTAAGTTGAACTCAGGGAAGTGGCTATAAGGATACAAACTTCAGCAATGAGTTAAGATTTTGTGCTTGTTTTCCTTTGATATATTGCACTAGAAATCATGAGCATGGAGTCAACTGTATGTGGGCTTTGATTGTTTGGTTTTGGGTACTTATTCTATCAAAAGGAGAAGCTTCATTGCAGGTAGGGGTGTAGCCCTGGCGGTAGAGCACTTGCTTAAACTGGGCCACTCGCTGGGCTTGGTCCTCAACATGGGAAAAATCAACCAGTTCAGTTAAAACTTGATTTTGAGAAAGAGGGACAAAGAGAAGCTCAAGAGAACTAAGGTACTGCCTCAGAGTCTGCATCATCCTCTGTCCCCAGTTTGCCTTTGCCATTTTCTCCTGCTGACAAACTGATGTCTCTGCTCTCTGGTCTCTTGCAGTTCCAGTTGGTGGGCAAGTGGGTGAGTGATCTCCAACCAACTTTTTATACTGCTTTTCTACTTCCAAGGGACCAGTATTACTAACCTGCAGAAGAAGAGGATAGACAGCAGATTTGAAAATTCTATAAAAATCTCCTATATTCAGAATGTGATTTTTATAAAACCCTGAGTTTTAAGTTTTCTTAAGTTATCTAAGGCTTTCTGGATGTGCCAAAACTGCAGAAATACACAAGCAGCCCTGTTGGGTTTTGCAGCATCCCCCAAACTAGTCTTCTTCACAAGAAAGCTGAGTTGATCTTCTGTCTGCAGAGACAGGAACACAGTGAAGTCTTCAAAGGGAGATGTTTCTGATGCAGAAGCCGTGGGGTTCTGTGCTTTACTCTTAGAGATAGCACAGCATCCAAGACAAGGAAACTGGCTCCAGTCAGCTGTCCTGTCCTAAAATGTCACCTTATACCTCAGCAACAGGAACACCTCAGTCAGGAACCCAATATTCCTCTTCAGAAACCCAATATTCCCAATATCCAGATTAAGATTTAAAAGCACAACAGAGCTCTTTGCAGCAGGGTTTGCATGCTCTTTAAAGGCTCATTTTTCTAGGTTCCCACTTGCTTACTTTTTCGAATTCATCTAAATATGTATTGTTTTCCTTGCGCTTTCCACAAAATCCTACTAACTACTCAAGAGTCCTTCCTTTTATTCCATTTGTTGTTTGTTCCTTGTTTTTATACCCAAGAGAACTTCACAAAGGCAGTTATCACCTTGCAGCCTCCGTGGGTCGATGTGTTCCGAGAAGAAAACGTGGCCTTGTGCTGTGAGGGGCCGCTCCCGCCCGGGAACACCTCGGTGCAGTGGCTCCTCAACGGGAAGGTCCTTCAGACCTCAGCTCTCAGACACAGCATCGCCGCAGCGAGCTTCAGCGACAGTGGTGAATACACGTGCCAAACAGGGCTCTCGGCACGCAGCGACCCTGTACAACTGGAAATCCACGGAGGTGAATATGGCCTGGCTAGAAACTGCAGTCTTCCTTGGTGTGGATGCTAGGGGTGTGTGTGTGT